GGATGTCACAAATCTCTTAGTTTGCAGGATTGGGTCTATCGCTGAGGTCTACACTTATCTCTCGGGAAGGTGTAGTATTCGCGGTATCAGGCACGATTATGCAAACTATTAGACGAATGAGATCCATTTGGTCTCATTTTTCAAAAATTAAAACATACTACTTTTAAAACTCAAACTATATATCTTTTATACTTAAATTAAATCTCAAAAATTATTTTCATATACCATATTTTCATATTTCATATTTTTCAAATAAATCTAATCAATCCATCGAAAATAAGTTGACCGACATCACCCAAATATGAAATTCCATAAGAAACGAAAAAAATTGAAGGACATAAAATTTTCAAAACGAATCAGGTCATGCTTAAAAAATGAAATAGACAAATATCTGTATGAAAAAGATTTCAATCACGCATTCAAAATCAGACACTAAATAAACCAAAATAAGAACAAAGATGAAAATCACACTTAAGAGAAAAATAATGCCTCACATCGATATGTGTAAGCAAACCCACAATCAACATAATTTAATTGTATTTCTAATAAATGTAAACTTCCAATTCTGCATAAAAGCCTAACATCAGGGACGGGCAATATTTTCAAGCGGGATAATCTTAAAGAGTATAACCATTGACCATGAATATCGAAACGCCTAAGGATCATAAAAGAAACACGGACATGTGTTGTCATATCATGAATAAAAAAATAGCAAAAACCTTAGTCGAGGGCATGGTGAGTTATCTCCATTAGGATAAGCTAATTTTGATAGCCTCCAAAGTAGGGAGAGGATAGTCGATGAGTAAAAAAAATACTAGTCAATTCATATTCATCAAATGATGCTATTAATAATTGAATGAAGTCATTTTCATATAGTTGAACAATAACCGAGAAGCTGTTCATGACAGAGTGTCACGACCCGACTCGAGGGCTTGAAATTCCTAATGCGGGAACATATGATCGAATGATGAAATTTAATTTTTCTATCACTGACATGAAGAGTTTTTTTAGCTTGTTTCTATATTACAGTAATGTTTCTTACTTCCTAAATGTATGCTTTATTTTCAATTTTTCACATTTACGTTTTACTTCTGTGAGACTTAGATTGCTAGTGATGTCTTCATATTATTAGTTAGCATGTATGTTAACAGTTCTGCGTAACCAATTGCATAATGATTTAACTATGAAATTTTTAGATTATTACATGTCATTTAGATTCTAATAAATGTTCAATTATTCATTAATTGATGAATGCAAAGTATCACATAAAAAATTAATGTATATTATGAAGTATGAAATTATTGTATGCATGGATGCTTAAATGTGCATTTTAAGAAAAATAGATCATTGTCTTATGGTACTTGGTTGGAGACACTAATGTATATGCCCCCGTAGATGTTTTTTACCATGTTAGACAATTATGTAATTCATATCACTCATCGTTGTGCCGATGAGAGAGCTTCGGCCAAGAGTGAGTAGGCGCCCTATTATCACACACAATTATGAAATTTAGATCACTAAATGTTGTGTCGAAGAAAGAACAATAGCCAGAAGTGAGTATGTATCTTTCCACCTCAAACAATGGTAGACATATACTATTAATCGCTATATTGACGAGATATGTATCGATCAGTGGTGCGTTAGGTTATGTTTAGAAGATGCTCCTGAGATGAATGTAAAAGTTAAGAGTATGAAGTATACTAAAACTTAAGATATTACACCTTGAAAAGTAAGTAAAAGATAATGCATGTAGAAATTATAAATTTCTTCCATGAGTAAACATCATGAATATATGATATAAATTATTATATAATATTCTAGAATATATTAGAAGAGACTAGCATATATATTGTCTTCTTTTCATTGGATTATTGTATTTTAGAAATGTAATTGCTCCACTAGGTTATCTTAGATGACTCATTGTGTTGTTTTAATATTATTTCAGATTTAAGATTTTGAATAAGATGAGTATTAGATGCAATAAAGCGTATAAAATGTAATGTCAAAAACTGGAAATATATACTTTAATTTGTTAATTAAATTCATTTTCTTAGTGGCTCTTTCAATTTATATTTGGATTGTAAAATGTGTAATAGGAAATTTTTAAATTTTACAATCTGACTGTTCATTCCCACCTTGGTAAATTTCAACGCCCAAGTTGGGTCATGACACAAAAATATGTTTAATATAGCAAAAAAAAAAATCAACAAGAAAATCATTAATAGTTTATCCAAGGACTATAAGCAGTTTAGATGTGACAGTGTCATGGTAGAGAACCAAGTGGCAAAAAAACCTCATAATATACCCTATTAGGTTGAGTGTGGATAGTAAGAATGAAAGTGTTGCGAATCAAAGCAATAATTTTGTGATTCTTCGTAACTGACTCCATCTGTGTTTGACAAATGTTTAGCTTGATTCATCTAGAAGCTTGATTTGGCGTGGGTGGGTTTATAAATAGCGTCATGCTACCTTATTTGATAATCTTTGATGAAACTAAACATTTTTTATCTATGGATTAATATAGTTGGAGCCATTTAGAACAATGGCAGTATAATGTTTAGGCTCAAATTTGTCCATTATTTTTGGTAACCTTGAACAAAAAACAAGAAAATTTTTTCATGGGGTAATGAATCATGGGGTAATGAAGAAGAAATAATAAGTTCTTGAGCCTAAATTCTCTTGAGTTCTTAAGGTGACTGAAAATTAGATACTAGCGGCAAATCTCTTGAAGTTTACTAGATTTCATGAAGTGTCTATCGATGATCACCGCATGCTAGAGCTAGATGGTGGAGAAGATCAATGAGATCTTGATTGGAGATTGGGTGCTTCAATGATGGATTGGTGATCCAATGGAAGAAAAAAGATCTTTTGGCTGGCAATGATTGAGGCCTGCAATGGTTTGTGATAACATTTTATGGGATGTGATGGTGAGGCAACTGAAAAGGGGCTGATTGAAATAGACTAATAACCGGCAATGCAAGCAAGTGAAGCATTTTATGGGATGTAATGGTGAGGCAACTGAAAAGGGGCTGATTGGAATAGACTAATGACCTGCAACGCAAGCAAGTGAAGCCAACACTACCTAGTTCAAGGACGGCTGAAGGCTGCATAAAAAATTCTGCAGAAAACAACAAGACAACAGATCTACGACAAGTTGTCAGATCTACAACTTTGCAATCAATGAGTGTTAGTGGTGATTGTACATTGGGTTTTCTCGGGTGAAGGAGGAGGCAAGGGGACCTGAAGAAGATTAACTATACCAAAGTTAAAATAGGCTGACAAGGAAATTGTAGATAGCCGACAAGAGCAAGACCAATAAGAACCTTGCTTTAATACCACGTAAAAAAGGAGAATGGGAGATAAATCCCTCCCTCCCTCCCTCCCCCTCTATGCGTGATTGGGGGATGGGTCGTTTAGCAAGGTTTTCGTACTGTATGCACTCAGCCCACGAACACCACCGACCATAGTTCTGGCTAAAACCATAATGGCCCATTTTATATCTCCAAAATACTGAACAGCTCACCTAAAGTTCGTGATTCAAGGGTTCTTCATGATATTCTTACGAAAAATCCCTTTCAAAATCATTAATCATTTCACGTCACGTTTTCGTACTGCCATGGGACTCTAATCATTTGTATCGGAATATAAATAAGAACAAAACACGAACATATTACTCGGTTTCTGAACAAGAAAACCCTAATTCCTGCATGGTATGAAGAAGACGTACCTGAAGAACGCACCAAACGAAATTGAGAACACTGACGATCCAGAGGAGAGCATAGTACGCGATCATGACATAAGACCGCCCATAGCTAAGCTTCGCGAAGCTCCGCCGCGCCTGCGACGCCAGATACGCTACGAATAGCACTGCCGGCACGACGAGCGAAAGATTGTACAAAAGCCCGTGGCAGTCCACTTGGGACGAAGACTGATCGGAGCCTACCCCTGCTCCGGCTGCCGGAGCGCTTGGGTCCGGGGAGATTAGAAGGGAGTTAGTAACCAAATCTTCCAGCCCTCTCATTTCCGTGGCTCCGGTAATTCTCTCACATGTAAGATAAATGTGGACAAGGGACGGTGAACTCTGAGAAGAGCGATCTAAAGATGCCGATGTAGAAAGAAAATGAGCATTGGAGCGGTAAATTATAAATTGCTAGCGCTATTTAAGTAGGTCATACGCACTTAATTCTGCCTAATAATCTTAGGGTTATTGGGAGTCTCAATAATCAATCAATATTAGGGGCATTAATCTCAATAATATTTATTGACATAACCCTCTAATATCCACAAATAATATCATAATACATTTAATTGATGGGGATTTTATATATAAAGACTGAATAATATTATTTATCTATAAGAATTAATGTTGATGTCGTTCCTCTAGCCAACCCGCGCGTCCACCTCTTCGCTACAGCTTCAATGTTAACCCAACGCTTTCTACATCCTCTACCTCCACTTCTTCCCCCTTCAACTTCACCCTCAAAGCCCAAGTTGTTGTCCCTGCCATGAAAAGTTTCCTCCTCTGTTCCTCCTGCCATTCCTTTTCCAATTAACTGTTCTCCGGCGGCTGCTCCATAGCCGGATTAGTTACGCCGTCGGTGGACTTTTGCAAAAAGGAGATAACGGCATGCTCTTGCACCATAAGTTCATACTCCTTCATCGGTGTTTTCAGCATCGGAATTGTTATGGTATGGCTCATATATCATATAGGGACAGGTGTTGGAACGAAACGAAACGGAGCGGAGCAGAGCGAAAGAATCTGTCCAAATTTGGAAGTTACGTTATATGGGTTGGGGCTATACGGTATAGGGGTAATTTGGGAATTACATATTGTACTGCAGGGTTTACTCTAGGATTATAAATAGACTTGTTTGTAATCTTAGGTCTTGGAGAGAGCTGAATCCCTGAATTCTGTAAATCCTTTTCTGATTATTGAAGGTCGCCGCTCTGCTCCCGTGGATGTAGGCATCTTTGTCGAACCTCGTTAAATCTCTGTATGTTCTTCTGGAATTATGTCGTTCTTGTTTTTCTTCGCACTAATTTCTCAACAAGTGGTATCAGAGCACTAACAAGTGAGTTGGGGCTCGATTGCTGTTTTCTTCGCCCTATTTTTTCTCAACAAGTGGTATCAGAGTCTGGTTCGAGAGCAAGGTTCGAGGGCAAGGAAGAAAATTTTTTTTTGGACGAAGGAAGAAGGAAGAGGATCTCGATCAGAGGGTCCGCAAGTGCAGTTCGCGAGGCAGCAAAGTGTTCAGCAGTGCGCTGAGAATTCTGATAAGCGACCCTCAGACTAGTTCGGGACGGGCGAACGAGGCGGAGCGGACGTACAAACAGGGATCGAGAGCTCGCGGAAGAGAGGGATCGCGACGGAGGAAAGAGACGGGATTCGCGGCAGTGTGCGAGCTTCGCAACAGAGCTTGTGCGGAACGGAGGAAGATTCGCGATCCAGAGCTTGTACGAAGGGAAGTTGCGATCCAGGGATTTGCGAAACAGGAGATCACGGTTTTCCGAAGGTGCGCTCGCTCGCTCGGCGTTGATCGCGAAGAGAAGAAGCCAGAAAAGGAAAGGAGCGGGCCGAGGACAGGAACGGAGGAGAATATTCCCTTCCTTTTTTTTTTGGCTCCAATGAAGGCTGCACTTCCATTTTTGGCTCCGCTGAAGGCTGCAAAGGAGCAAGGGATTCGGCTGCACTTCCATTTTTGGCTGCAGAGGAGTAATTGGAAAGGGAAGTAAAAGGAAGGCTTGCTTTATTTTTTAATTTCGAGAAACGAAAGAAATATTTTTTTTTAAATTCACTTAATTAAAGGAGCCTTTTTATTTAAGTTGATTTAAATTAAATTAAGCAAATTTAATTAAAAATTTTCTTTGCCGGATAAGGAGAGGAAATAAAGGAAATATTTATTTCTTTTCTTGGAGGCGGAGAGAAAATTTTTTGCTTTGCTGGAAAATTTTGAAGGAAATATTTCAATTATTTTTTCTTTCATCTTTTCAAAAAAAAAAAAAATGTTTCAAGCAAAGATTTTTGCAGAGGAATTTTTTTTGCAGAAAAGTTTTGTTGCAGGATCAAAATTGTTCGCAAGGCGAACGGGCTCGCGGGAACGAACAGGTGCGAAACAGTTCGGATAAAGGGCTGCGGCAGTTCGGCGAGTTATGCTTCGGGGAGTTCGCGGTAGAGGCGGCGGCGCGATTTTGAGGCGCGACAGTTCATGAACCTTCGCGACATTAGACGAGGTGGAGTTCGCGAACAGGAGTTCGTGTGCAGTTACTGCGAACTGGAGCATTTGCAAACAGAAGAGTTTGGTGGTGTTCGACCAGCGGAGTTTGCAAGTTCGTCGCAGGTGGAGTTTGCGACAGGTGGAGTTCGGTAGGGTGTTGGCAAGCGAGTAGACGTGATTATTCGCGAACAGTGGTTTCGCGGAGGTATTTCGCGAAGGGTTTTGCTCACGGGACAACAATTTTGCCGAGGTGCTGGCGCGAACAAGAAAAGTGCCTCAACCCACATTTGTGCATAAGAAACTCCATGATATTTTTCACCTAAGGGCTGGACATTCGCATGGTGGAGATTTTCTACTAAGGGGCAGAATGTTCGCAAGGTGGAGATATTTCTCCTAAGGGG